GCTGGCCTCAAACTCATGACAATCCTCCTGCCTCAGCCTCCCAAGTGCTGGTATTACAGGTGGGTGCCACCATGCCTGGGTATAATTCCTTAAAATTCAGATAAATGAAGAAATTGTGGCTAGCATGTTGTTTGAGAAAGATATTTTCCAACACCAAGTTAATCTTTTAGTACTGGAATTCAGTGATAGAGGAAAATCTCAAAGAAATTTGAGATTCTGGTTAGAAAAGGCAAACACACATACCAAAGAGCTCCAAGGTTCCAGGTAGTGAACCTCAGCTTGAGAATACTGAAGAAAAAAGGAGAATTCCAAGATTGCTTTTTTAAGGATGAAACCCTAAGGTAGGTGGCTTGGCAGGTAGTTATACACAGAGGGGCTCAGCCTGATTGGAGGGGACTGACAAGGGTCCCTCTGATGAGAGAGTTAGATTTGAACTTGGCCATGTGCTGGGTGAAGAAATTGCTATCATGGAGACTGGACAATATCAGGGGCATCTTCCAAGCCAGGCCAGATGGAGCAGCCAAGGCAAGATACCTCAACTCTTAATTATTTCTAGTAGCATGTATGGCCTGTAGCATTATGGCCTTTTGAAACAAGAAGGCAGAGTTTCATGTGTGGGAGAAATCTGGGGTGCATACTGCTAGGATCTGAACTCTGGTGTGCCTGGCAGGACATTTCCAGTGCAGCTCTGTTATTGCACCAACCCCTCCCAGGCCATGGCTCAGAGTGAACCATGGGTTTTTAGGACAATGATTGGCAGAATCAGCTATCGCTTTAAAAATACTCGAGACAATCATCTTACAAAGAAAAATTACTTCTGCTCACAATTTTGGTGGTTCCTGTCCCCACTGCTTTGGTTCTGTGGTGAGGCGGCTCATCAGGGCAGAGCACACAGTGGAGCGAAACCACTCACCTGATTATGAGCCAGGGAGCAAAGAGGGAGAGGAAGCAGCCAGAGTCCCACAGTCCCCTGCAATGGCACACCCCCTAGTGACCTAAAATCTCCTGCTAGGCTCAACCTCTTAAGGTTTCACAGCCTCCTGATAGAGCCATCCCTGGAAACAAGCCTTTCACAAGTGAGCCTGGGCCGGGGATTTAGCCCAGTGGTTCTGCTGCCTGCCTGGCAAGTGCAAGGTCCTGAGTTCAATCCACAGTATCAAAAAAAAGAAAAAGAAAAAACCCAAAACACAAGCAAGCCTTTGGAGCATTCACCCTACAGCAATGCCCTGGTACTATACTTCATCCACCCACTCCACCAGCCCAGGTTTCCATGAGATTCACCGAACTCGAAGGCTTGTGGCAGCTTTCATTAACAGAGTAGGTGATCAGCATCCTATCCAGCTGGGGACGGGAGAGGAACTAGAGATAAAAATCTATAATGGAGATCAAGATCTCAATGGAGGCAGGAGATGGAAGGCAACAGTGACCCTGAGAGAGAAATGTCCCTGCTGCATGACTTGAGAAGCAGACTGGAATAGTGCTGTCCACGGTATGGGTCAGCACTCCAGTCAATATCAGAACGGGGTGGGGTGGGGGAGTCCAAAGGCCACAGAACTTCCAGCAGGAGACATCCAAAGGGCGGCTGTTTGGTTGACTGTATTTTCTTGTTGTTATTACATCTCTGAAATCAGAAGTATTTCAATGACTTCCAACTAGAATGAATATAAAAAATGAATTTATAAATCCACAAGGAAAAGCCAGCCTCTGGCTGCAGCACTGATGAAGTGGCTCTGGATTCTCTCTGCGACCCTCCTGCAGGTGTCATTAACTGCCACCCACCAGCCCCAAATCAGTGCATCCTGGCCTTGGCCCAGGGCCCTAAGCCCTCACTCAAGGAAAATGACCAGCAGGACTGGGACAACACTTCAAGCCCAACATAAGGAAATGGAAGGACACGGGACATGATCCGAATGATGAAGCATGGTGCGATAAAACCATTAAATAGCAAGACCATAGGGAGACTTGTAAAATGGTGGACTTCCATGTTAAATGAAAAAAGCACTATGATTTTAATTATGTGAAACTACTGTAGTGTGTGCACCTAAGGACAAGAAAGGTCCACAAAAAAGCAGGTGAGTTAGCACAACAGAACTTTAGGTGCTTTAAAAAAAATCCACTGTTGTTCCTTACATAATAAACAGAAATCAACAGGAAACAAATGAGTGGAAGTAAAGTAAGTATTAAAATATGCTTTTATATGCACTAATTTTTTCAAAAACAGAATTTTAACAATCCGTGAGCTAGGTTAGAAGATGAGTATTATTTTACGCATTACACTCTTTTTCCTGTTTGAAATTTCCATAATAAAGCATTTTCTAAAGGAACTATAATCATAAAATAATAAAATGAAGGTTTGCTTTGAGTAAATACAAAGCAGACAAGCTTCCTTGATCTTACAAATAATGCCTGATGTGTATTCAGGAAAGAAATATTTATTTGGGGCCATTCATTCACTCAGATTGGTTGCTCCCTGGTTTATGCCAATCTCCATTTCCATAATAGAAAAGCAAAGAATTTAGAGATCCACACAGGGGAACAGAAGGAAGCTAGGAAAATTAGGCCAGCTTAAAGACACTCGCCCAGAGTGGCTGGGCCTCCATATTTCCGTTGCAGTTTATTAGGAGATGGAAATGTCTTCATACCCTAAACCCACCTGGGTTCTGCTTCAACACAGGCATCAAGCCACAAGCCTGAGGCTGCCCCTGCCCACTGCATCTACCCCCTTTCTCTGCACACAGTCTGCGCTCTAGATGTCTGAGACCCATTGCTGCCCTGCCCAGAAGCCTGATAAGACAGCCCCAACTCACGTCAGTCATTCATGCACTCACCGTTCAATCCTTAACAATCTCAGCGGGAGGAAAAGCCAGCTATGAAATAGCCTGAATAAGCCACCTCCTCTGTGGCTGAACTGGGATGAATGTGTAGGAGGAAGCCCTAAACTTTATACACAAACCCCTCGCAGTATTTCTGTCACATTGTTACTGTAAGCAGTGATGCAATGAATGACCCTGTACAACACAGCTTCCCACTCATGCAGGAACATCTGTAGTCTATGTCCCTAGAAATGGGCTCCTTAAACATTTAATTGTATGTTTGGTTGATTTTCTTATAACTCGCTATAGCTTTTGTAGAACAGGGCATAAATTTGTCTAATTTGCCCAACGATAAAATACAATAAATATGTATTTAATTCCTCCTTTACTCCTTTAGCAAATATTTATTAAACACCTGCTGCACGCCAGTCCTGAGTGCTGGGGATGCCAGGGAAATGCCTGGCTCTCCTGGATCTTCCTTGCCAGTGTGGGAGCCAGAGGCCATTAACGAGTCAGCAAATCTGTGGGGTGCTGTAGAAAAACACCAAAAAGAAGACTAACACAAAAAAGGATAGGGCCAAGGAGTTAGCATTTAAAATAAACCACTATCAAAGAAATCAGTGGAGAAAGTCATTCTGGTGAGGATACTTCCTTGCAACGACAGTAACTGTGAAATTTTAAACACCTCAGGTGTCTGAGGAGGAGGAGAGAGTCCGGGTTCCTCTGCATGACTAAAGCTTCTGAGTTTGCAATGAGAGAAAGAACAGTACCTGGGGGACCAGTGTGACCTGGAACCTTCTCTGAAGGAGAAAGTGGTACCCAAAACAAACAGACATGAATGACATGGGGTCACAGTGGAAATCCAGCCAGGCAGACACCGGTGCACTAACGGTCATCAAGAGCATGAAGCTCACTTGCTCACCCTGATCTGAAAACTTCTGTACAATCAGTTTTCCAACAAAAATCGTTTTGATGCTGATAGCACAAGAAAAAGGGGGAAAAAAAACCTCCTCCACCATTTGCTTTCCCCGAAGGAAGACTATTCTAGCTGAGGAATCAGCAAAATGAAACTCAACATCACTTCTTCCAACAGGAGAATTTGTCAGCAGAAAATGAAAACCTCTTACGCTAAGTGTGGACTTTAAGCTCAGAAATAACAGTGATCTATTACCACTGCGGGTCTGACTGCTGAAAATGAAGCTTGCAAGGTTAATGTGTATCTGGTAGCAACCGGAATGAAGGGCAACTCATCCTAACAGTACTTCACTGGAACACACACACACGGGATGGGACATTTAGTAAGTCCGCACAAGTGAGGGTTGAGCAATTCCGATCTCCTCAGGAAAGCTCTGCTGATGGCATCTGAGTAAAGTCCCAAACACTCCAATTGACCCAAAAGCTGTGACAGCAAAGGCCAACACTAAGTAGTGGTGTTTGCACACCTGGAGGCCGCTCCCTGTACACAGCAAATCCGTCTGGTGCCTCATCCCTTAAACCCTTACCACCCGCAATTCAGGCTTTACAACAAATGCCCAAAGCACCCCTCAGGGCTCAAATTCCATTTGCTCTGTTCCTGAAGTGTATCTAAATTAGCACTTTTCTGCCACAAACTCCACTCTGGTGATGAGAAGTCAGCTACTGGGCCGGCGCAGGCTCTGACGCGTGCCCAGCCTTCCTGAGGAGTCCCCAGTCCCCGCAGTGAGGACGTGGGCCCTGCAGGCAGTGGCGGGTGCAGCCAGCCTGGCACACACCCCATCTGCACACCTCCCAGGCCCTCCAGAAGCCAGGCCGACACTCACCGGGTGCCGCAGTCGGCAAAGGCCATTTTTCCAGACCAGGGCTCGGAACTGGCAGCCGGCAGGCCCCATGCCTGCTGCTCCGTGCTCCTAGGAAGTCAGCCTGCGGGCGGCGCTTTTATCCCCAGGGTGTGCCTATTAGTCACTCCCACCAGGTGTGTGATGCAAGAGAGATTACTGGGGGGACCAGGGGAAGCGGCATCAAATGTCCCTCGTGCTCTGAAGCACTGAGAAATCTTGCATTTGCGGGAGCTGCTCTGGGATGGGAGGGCTGGTTCCAGGGCAGCCTCGGGCCCCTCCTGGGCAAGTGCAGAGACCCCACACAGCAGATGCACCCCACGAGGGCAAGGTGGTGTTTCCTGCTGCCCCACTTGGTGTTACAGTTCACAGGGTGGAATTAACCTTTCCCTGCTGTCACACCAACTGACCAAAATAGTCCTATTCTGGTGCCCAGTGACACAGCCTGGGAAGAAAACGGGTGGCTCAAAGGCACTGCCACTTGCTACGCCCGCTCCCCATTAGGCTGGGGAGTATTTCAGGGAGCAGGGACAAGGGCTGGGATGCAGCTCAGCAACACCAGGTCTGCCTGGCAAGCACAACGTCCTGAATTCAATCACCGGTACCCCCCCCAAACAAACAGAGCACAGAGCACAGGGCACAGACAACGGCAGGTGCCAGCATGGAGGGACTGGGCAGGCCTGGGGGTCACCTCTGAGCCCTGTGCAACCTCTGAATGCTTGCACACTTCAGGGGCACAGTGAATTCAGCTGGGCACTGGTTGCTCCATCACCCCCAGAAGCTGCAGACACAAGGCCACCAGGCACCCCACCCTTGTGGGCCCCGTTTCATAGAGCCGTCTCACAAGCTGCGAGCTATGCTACGTGGCTTTCATGAGGGGACATAGGCTCACAGGCTTCAGCAGACGGCTTGACTCAAACACCATTAGATTTACACTTGAATGGGACGTGGGTCTATGTAACACCTCAGGATGTCACCTCAGAGTGACCCTTGGCTTCGTCCCAGCCCCATGGGCTGCAGTGTCCTTTCTCGGCCTCTCCCCCTCAAAGGACCAGTAGGGTCACCTAAGTATGACAGCATGGTTTTCTCTGCTGGAAACACTTGGCACACCACAGGTGGCGGTGATGGTTTCTTTAAATCTTTGCATGCAGAAAAGCACTCCACCACCAGACCTTCCCGTTTATGCTGGGATGCCTGCAGGACACCAGGATTTATGCTCTGCTTGTGTGGAGCAACACGGATGGGGTTCTCTGGAAACAAGAGCCATTGGTGACCATAAGGAACTGGATCACACGGGGAGGCAGGGCCCAAGGTCTGCAGGTGAATCCAAAAGTTAGAGGCACAAGGGAGCTGATGGCTCAGGACAACAGAGGATCAGATGTTTGTGCTGAAGTCTGAGGGCAGAGAAAGAGCTCCGGCCCAGGGAGAAGAGCATCAGACAAGAGTAATTCATTGCCACACCAGGGTGGGGAGCTGCTGGGCTGCTCTATTCCTGTCTTTGCTCACTGAATGAGGCCCAGCCCCTTTGGGAATGCTGGCTATCCGCTGTCCTCGGTCTACCTCCTTACGTGTTCATCTCACCAGTGACACCCTCACAGAAGCTGCCTGGATAATGCAAGTCTCTGGATATCCTTTAGGGTTTATAGCTAGGTGTCCCCAAGAGTCTCATGTGCTCATGGCTGGGGATTCTGGAAGGTGATGTGATTCCGGGAGCTTATAGTAGTCTTGCTGTTAGGATGTGGGGTCTGGTCAGAAGAAGCAGGTCACCTGTACTGTGACCCAGAAGGATTTATCTCCCTCCCTGATCCTCCTTCCCTTCTCCCTGCTTCTGGGACACTGTGACAGGAGTCACGTCTCCTACACTGTGCCCTTCCTCCACGCCATCCTGCCTTGCAGCTGGCCAACCGCACACTGAAACCCAAGCCAATAACCTATCCTCCTTTGACTTTGGGGTGATGAGAAAGTGACTAAGACGTAGAATCTCGGGGCCCAAACAAGTGACACCTGAAATATGATGTTCCAAGTCCTCTTTTACCAATGTGTGCCATACACCACCTGTAAGCCTTACTTCATCTCCAAATAAAAATGACCACAAGGTCATGGTCCCACCCAAGAGAATGGTGCAACTCTCTGATCACCAACCATAAACACAACTCCTTCCACAGGAGAGGGGAGTCTCTCTGAATGAGGCTCATTCTTCTCCTTGATATTCCTACAGCTTAAATATTATGGCATAAACTTAGCAACACTTAGATATTCACATGTGATTGCATCCTATGTTACACGACAAGGTGGTAAGAGGTGGACCACACACACACACATGTTTTCATAACGCCCCATGCTGGAGGAGCAGGGAGGAGGTGGAGTTGCCAGAATTTAGGGTCCTGAATTTAGTGTGTGGGAACTGGAGCCTGAGGAGGTGAAGGGAGTAGGGAGCAGACAGTCATGGAGGACTCTGCCATCCAGGCCTCCTCAGCTAGTGGACACCACACATCCCAGGGCCTGGCTGGCTCATCACCAGCTTTGGAGCTGCCCCAGCACTCCTCCCCAGCTCCTGGGCTCTCTGTCACCACACAGTGAGCCTCCCACATGAGATTACCTCCTGTACTACGTACAGCGTAGTCTACATCTCCCACGCTGGGTAAGGATTCTGCCAAATGGTCCATGAAAACCAGCTCCTGGGGGAAGAGAGCTGTGCCAGGCTCGAGGCCAGCTTGTCATAGTCATTCAGAGGAACCGTATCTGTCTCTCTCTCTCTCCCCCTCCACCCTCTCGCTCTCCGTGTCTCTTTCCATCTCCCTGTTTCTCTGTCTCTATTTCACTCAGATGCCTCACTAAGACAAGTGACTAAAAGAAAACAAAACCTGTCCACAGGAGGATCTTGGCAACCTCCCCTCACTCTGTTTTGTTTTGTTGTTTTGGGTTGGTTGGTTGATCTGCACTACTGGGGACTGAGCCCAAAGCATCACACTAAACTACATCCCCCACATTTTTTCATTTTTTATTTTGAGACAGTATTTTATCAAGTCATTAGGTTGCCCAGGCTCGGTTTGAACTTGCATTCCTCCTGCCTCAGCCTCCCAGAGTGCTGGGGTTACAAACCTGCACCACATGCCAGCTTCTCTCCATCCTATTCTCCACAAATAACCATCCCAAGTCTGGACAGAACTATGACAATTATCCAAAGGGAATGAAGTAAGAAATTACAACACATGATGGGATGGATTTCCAAGAGAAGCCCAGGCAGGAATCCAGGTCTCACCTGTGGGTATTCAGCTGCATGACTGTCTTAGTTACCTTTCTTACTATTGGGGCAAAATACCCAACACTCATAATTTAAAGAAAAAAATGTTTATTTTGACTCACAGTTTGTAGAGGTTTCAGTCCACAGTTGGATGCCTCTAAGGCAAGGTAGCAGGGCAGAGGGGCATCATAGAGGAAAAACAGCCCATGGTAGGGTAGGCAGGAGGCAGCAAGCAGTGTACTTGCCTTCCTTCTTTATCCTTTCTATTCCATCCAGACCTTGCTAAGCCAATCAGTGGACTAAGTTACTGATCACACACCCTTAATCAAAGTGCATACACACTAGATTCTGCCACCTCCAAAAAGCATGAGGCTTTTGGGGGACACCTAGATACTAGCCATACAATGACCTAACCACAATCCCAGTCAGTACCACTGTGAAGCATGTACCATGGATGGAATAAGAAAAAGAACAACTATGTCCATGATTTCTCCCAAAGCTGCCTGCTTCCAGAGTCCCACAGGCCCAAAATGGACTTTCCCAGAAGTTGGCCTCGTGAGAGATTAATAAATGCCCACATACCACTGATGGTGCAAGAATGCTTTTATCCACCTTTCTGGGTGACCAACAGTTCCTCATCTCCCACAGGTATGCACCAAGCAGAATGTTAAAAGTCAAAACAGCTGTCAACAGCCGGAAGAAAAAAACAAGAGACTAGACTCTCCTGTTGGGATGTACAAATACAAAAGTTTTCTGGTTCAACAGTGATTAGGAAATGGGAAATCTACTACAAAGCCCAGATCACAAGAAACACCAAGAAAAGTAGGGTGTTGTGGGCTGAAATGTATTCCACCAAAATCCTAATCCCGTTGGATTTGACTGGATTTGAATGAAAGTCAAATAAGGTCATCAAAGGGGGGCCCTAATCCAGTGAGGCCATGTCCTCAGCAGAAGAGGTAGGAACACTAAGAGTCTGCATGCAAAGAGGGAAATCCAGGTGAGCACAAAGCGAGACAAGGCCTCGTCTACTCCAGGAAGAGATGCCTCGCCAGAAGCCAACCCCCATGTCACCTAGATCTTCAGCTTTGGTCTGCAGAAATGTGACAAAATCAGATTTCTGTTGTTTTAGACTCCTTGTCTGTGGGACTTCATTTTTGGCATCCTGAGTGTTCTAGTTAATATACAGCATTGATGAAAGGGACCTAGAAACCAAATTTCTACTTGAGGGCCTGAAGACGAGGCTATCTAAGGAATTTAAGGTTGATGTTTGCACCCTACCTAGACCTGGGATTTCTTCTGACTAGAGAAGACACAGAGAAAAGCATGGAGTTGGCAAAAAAAAAAAAAAAAAAAAAAAAACCCCTGGAAGAAAAAAAAAAAAAAAAAAAAAAAAAAGCCTCTGTGTAAAAGGACCCTAAGAATGGAATGGACTGAAGATTACCTCTAAAGCTGGATTCTCTCAATATTCATACAATGGACCCTCGAGTTATGATCGCCCTAACATACGAACAACTTGGGTTACAACCTGAATTTTGACTTACAAACAAAATCTTGAGCTGCAACCCAAATGCTAGCTGCTTGTGCTTCTGGATGGTCACAGATTTAACCCTAAAAGAGTTCTGGAAGGAACATTACAACCTCCTTTCCTGTGTGGGGTTCACTGAGAAATCCTGGACCAGTGTCTCTCTAAGGACACTGGGATCTGCCTGGAAGAAGATGTGGCCTGAAAGGATACAGAAGAGAGACTCTGAACACAAATGACAACCTGAGTTACAACTGGCCCTCGGGAGCAAAGAAGAGTTCATAAGTC